ATATGAGGCATGGTAATGGCATGGGTTTCCAACCCTCCTTCCCTCTCAACCCCTCCCCCAACATAGAAATCGGAGACGTGGCCAGCCCGCTTCCTCCGTGGCATGAAGGCTGTACGCCGCCTGTGGGGTCCCACTTATGGGCTCCCCCAGGGCCACGGTGAGGAAGCCACGCAACAGGTGGGGCCCAGGTACAACTAGGGCAAGCAAATGCTGCTCCCCCTCCCCTCCGTCTTGCTTTCCCTCCCCCAGCCCCACTTTCCCACAAGGCCCTTTTCTCCCCACATACAGTATTATACTGCTTCTTCAGTGCTTCGAAGGCAGCCAGGAGCCGGTAGCCGAAAGACCTCCTCTTGGTTGTTCCCAAGCTGCAGGCCCACGGCTCTCCTGGGCTGAAACGCCCCAGATCTGGCTGGGTTTCCCTGTTTGCGTGAAGCACGTCAACCCAGTTCATTTTCATTTTATCATTTCAATGTTGAGACCACCCAGCTACACAGTGACTCTGGGCAGCTTCCAATGAAAAAGTTAACAAGAAAGCCACATATATCTAAGAAAAAAAATACAGTGACCAGAAGACAGACCAAAACCCAAGAGGAGTCAACCTCCATCCTGACCCAAGGCCTGTTGTGTGAGGCAAATCTCTGAACTTTTCTTTCTTTAGCCAAAGGGGCTCCTCTGAATTAGAGCCCCAGTTTGGGGGGAGGCAGGCACGAGCCCTTCCCCTCGCCCATTTCCACAGATCAGAGCATAGATCAGGTAACCCCCCAGCCTCCAAGGCTGCTTGGAGCCTCTGGGAAAAGACACATATTGTGGCAGGTTCTGCCCCACCCTGACTTAGCCACCACATGAGTCAGCTTCATTCACAGAACATGCCAGTTTGGATAGTGTTAATCCTGGCTAACTTTTCTTTGGTGGCTTAGTGAGTTGGGCAACCCTCAGCTCCATGGTGACACCATGGTTCAGAGCGTGGGGTAAACCCAGAAAATTGGTTCATTCTGCAATTAGGCTAAACATCTTGTGTGAATCCAGCCTGCGTGTTTCTAGTCCAAATCCCTCCTCTCTTTTGGCTGATTTTAAGAAAAGGTTTTCTGAGAACTGATTTGGGGCACCACACTGCATTCATTTGGCTTTTAAATTAGCTGCTCAGCAAAATGTTATCAGCGCATGCCTCCTGTAGAGGTGGTTTCCACTGCACGGAACCAGCTTTTCCACCATCAGCAGGAAATAGCAGTTCCTTCCACGTGGCGATTAAGAGAGGACTAAAAAGAGAGGAC